CTTCGTCATTAATCGACAGAGAATGAGCCCATAATGAGCTACCTGAACTCTTCCTAAATGGCTTGTAGTCTAGACATACTTGGTTCAAAATCTTCCAGTTGACCCTGGTGCTTAATTTTCTAGTCTGGACCACCTCAACCATTCAATAATGCCACATTTCACAAAATTGAGGCTCCTCATACTGGAAAATGGGTCCAGAGGTGCCGAATGTCCATGAAGGAAAAAAAGCTGGATGACAAGGCGAAAAACCTTCAAAAAACAGCGGCTCTCCAGGACGTTTCCTGCTACATTACATTATACATTTACTACTTTAGGTAGTTGTTCCGCGGCCACTCCTTCGCTTTTTCTCTCCCATCCCCCCTCTCAACCCAAATTTCGCAGCGAAACTGGACAAGTGGACAAGAAAGGTAGAAAGTTGGAAATTTTTGGGCAGAGGAAGATGTTAGGCATGGGGAGGGGGGGGGGGTGATGAGAGGGGGCATATTCGGGAGATCGTATTTCAGACACAACCTCTCTTCTCCACGCTTCACCCCCCCCCCCTCTCAGGCTAACAGGAAATAAGCGGTCATTGGTGAAGAGGCGCAATCCGCTGTAAAAGGGCAAAGAGAAATAAATCAGCGCCTTTGCTACGCACTTTTGCACAAAAAAGTAGCACAGCCGCTGCCGCTGCGCTGTGTTGCATATAAATAGTGTTATACTTTTCTATTCACATAAAGTGCCTTTAAGGAGATATGGAAAGAGCGGAGGCAAAGTAGGGAGGAAATCCAGTAGATTCAAAAAACAATACAGGCGTCAGACGCTGTTGGCTTTAAGCGGGTTTATGAAGTAAAACTTCTCTTTACCCTGTCCAGGAGAGACAATTTTGACAGAATACATCCCCGAGGAAAGTTTCGGTGAGAAGTGGCCCGATACCCGAAAAAAGGGCAGCAAACGGTGAATAGTATCTGATCTGTTTAGTGATGAGGTTAGTCTGATTAGCATTGTTGTTGTAATACTATCGGCACGATGAGAACTTT